ACCTAAATTTCAACTTTTTCTCCTGTTAGTTACATCAACACGTTTACGAATACAGATGCGTCTTCACTCTCCCGCTGGAATCAGCACACATCCTACGTATGTTTGATTATCTGGCACTGCATTACGTCCAGTACATTGTTCATATATCTATTAAAATTCCATTCGTCTTATGATACAGGATCTGATAAACACGTGAAAGAATTTAGAGAATGACTTTCAACTTACAGTTTGACACATTCAAAAGAATAGAGAACACGTTTTATTCGGGATATATCACAGAAATCTCCTGAGTAGGACATTCAAAGAAGGCCAAAGGATTGATAAAATCCGACAGCAAACCAATTCTGCAGTGCTTCAAAAAAAAACTATGCTAGAATCATCTTAGTACACATGAGTGATGTCTTTGGAGATGTGCAGTGACAGCTGCCTCGTTGTTCGACTTACACAATACATTTGGAGGGAATGGAATTCTTAAAAGGTATACGATGGACGACGTGACGGACATTGGTTCCGGTGGCCTGAGTTCATTTTTTACCCATTCGCGGAACTAGACACGTCGCATGATAACGCTTTTTGAACATTCAACGTGACGTCGGTGAAGTCAAGAAAAGGGTGGATCTTCAGTGGTTGTGCATTCTACTCTCATTCATCGGTTCTCCTCGACAGCTACCTGTTGAAACTGAATACGCTTGTCCATTTTCATCATCTGCGTCTAGAAATAACACAAGCAGGACCCGTTTAATACTTTTACCCCGAGGAAATAAAGGCATTCTGTGTAAAACAGAACCAGGCTTAATTAAACGCGCATTTGTTTGACTATTTGCCCAAACAGAAGATGAAAACGGTGTGTGAATGGAAATATTTATGAAGTACAGTTAATGACGTCCGAACAACTTTTGTTCACAATGGGCGTGATTCACACCCGTCTCATTTCTCTATGCCGGAAAGCTTGTACATCCAGGTATAAATAATATTCATACTCCTCGTGAAACCCAAAGGCGTCAGTCGATCGAAAGCCCACGATATGGCTGCAAACAGTGGAATATCGTAAAGTGCATATTCCAAAGACCCGTAGTACTCGAAATATTTGTACATCAGTATTTGAAATCATAATCGTAGTCAGTCAATGAAATCTCCCAGGAGCGAGAGGAAGGAAGTACTCCATTGAAATAGTGGAAAAATCAAGAGCATTAAATAATATGCACAATTAAAGATCACTGGCTCAATAGGTGTCAACGGATCACTGCCGGTGTTCTAACAGCAGCAATCTTGGTTAAACGGCAATGAATTTGACTCGTCAAGAATCTCATCGGTTTTCTTTCACCCTATTAAGGTGTAACAATGCTGAATCCTAGATGACAGTGGTTCTCTAAAGGTCTAAATTACACCAAGTAATTTTCAGACCGGTCATTAGGGATGTTGAGTGGACGACGCCACAGATCAGTCTACTGAAACTTACACAACAAATATATCAATATATAGCAAACGTAAAGCGACGATCACTTGACAACCCCAATTTTATGGTCAAAGCTATTTCATTATGTGGTTATTTAAAACGGCGTAAAGACACATTACCATTTGCATTTCTCACACCTGTTTTCGCGAATGAAGCCCTAATTTATTCAACCCACTTGGCTTGGCTCCTTGAGGATAGCAAGCTAGCATTAGGAAGATCATGCACTGTCACGAATTTTTGATATGAGACAATCCTATAATCTTCCGGTAATTTTCTAGGATGTACGTTCAGTCTAGCACAACCAAATGCGAAATCTAATGGAGCGGTGTGGAGGGGCTTGTTTGCTAGTATATCTGGATAAAATCCAGGTATCAATAATTCTGTTAGTTGGGCGAATTCCCCCTGCATGTGGCGGATCAGGTAGATCTCGTTCGCCCAATAGCGGCTAGCTGCCTTTGCATGCCACTCAACATCATGTAGACATTTTCAAGTCGTGGTTACCGTCAAGTTGGTTTAGCCTGCCTATCAGGTGCTTTGTTGAGTTATGAACGCTATACATGCTTCAGCATTTTGCAGTCGTAGGTACATGACGGAGACCAAAGTGGTGGAACATCTCCCAAAGGACAATACAGTGTACCAGCTCGGCTGTGTTACCTTTATCAGATACTCCCTACGATGTTGATGGAAGCATCCTACGGACAGCTATAGAGAAAATAATGATAATAATAATAATAATAATAATAATAATAATAAATCGATGCGCGATGTATCCTAAAAAGACATTGATTGTGGTTTGACAACCGATAGGATTCTTCGAATAACCAAACGGCAAACGTTAGCAGCCTCAATGAGACTCCCGTACACATCTGCACACGTACACTGCATCAGCTGACCTACGAGGACAACTACCGCTCTGGTCGTTTAGCACTTGATCATTCATGCAAATTACAGGGGAGAATGGACATATAACATCCGAGTTCCACGGCAGGTTTTCATTTGTGTCAAACACCAGTCGATCAGATGATAGAGAAAATTGTTCAAGTTTCATCGTTATGTTGGTGTTGCATCCATACTGGGCTGAACGTTGGACGAATGCCCCTACAGGAACTCCGATTTTTTCGCAGTCGGAATGGTGGACCACCAACAGAAAATTTATTGATCGGGAAATGTTATGCGTATATCTCCCAACGTGTTTCCTCAGTGCAGGGACTCGTCGGAAAACCTTAATGTTGGGGGGGTTGATTTTTCATACCGGAACCACCTTCTAGTCCATCACTGCTATTGAAGTCTGTTTTGTCCATTTAATTTTATACTCCTTAAATTTTTATTTCATTTTTTCCAGCTTCTGAATTCCAGGTAGACCTAGATCCCGGCTAGACCTCTCCTCTATACTGGATGGCTTTTGTAGTCACTATTTAATTCAGCCGCAAGCTAGCTATCTGTGAATCCAGAGCCTGAAATATGCACTCTGTCTGCCATTCAATTAGCCGGAAAAAAAGGAGAGAATTACTTAGAAAGTTAATTTACGATAACTAGCTCCTTGGGAAAAAAGAGCCGATTTCATGAATGATCATGAATTTCCGTGACAGACAGGTTCAAAATACATCACCAGGATCATTGGGATTTTTGTTTTCAGTGAGCTATCCTAGCCTTTGTATGACCAACTTTGAACCGTAAGGCAGCAGCGTTCAAGACAGCTCATCCGGACTGCAACAACCACTTGATTGGGGTGGATTCTGGTCAGAGACCCATGCATTCCCGCTGGTTTGACAGATACCCCTCGTCATCCTAAAAGTAGACAGATCTCGTTTGCTCACTCAGGAGTGGCTGTTTTCACATGCCCTACGGTGTTTGGTCGAAGTTTCCGTTGGTTTAGTCCGTCTGTAGAGCGGTTTTGTCGGGAAGTAGCCGCTGAAGCTGGTTCCTGGAACTACAGTTGAGAGTTAGATAAGACAAAAAATGTGGATGACACTACAGGGATAGTTTCGACCTCGATAGTGCTACGCCCATAAAATACCTCTTGTTAATCAGTCGAAAAATACCTCACGAAGAAAACGACTTTACAGTGAGATAGCGACGAAGTAATTAATTGTGTACTTCCTTCAACTGATTGAAGACCTCAAAACTTTTTGAAATTCTCGTCAGTAAATGACCTGCATCACGAAACCGATAAGCGCAAAGGATTAAAATATATGTATTATGCGAAAATCCTGTGATGACTGTTATCACTGTAATACACTCCACGGTTTTTTAATTACAACGGTGTTTGGATGCGAGTTTTGGCTAGTGATAAACAAGATGTCTGAAGGAAACTTGTAGACCAGAAGGTGAGAATCAGGGAGAAGGTTGGTGATTGAATCTGATCCGCAGAGTATTCACCACTATCACCGAGAACAATACAATGAACTACGTTTCTGTTCGACGACCGATGAGACCGATGGAATCCGTTGCATTTTTTTATTACAGCTTCATTGATGGACGCTGTCCAATCACTAAATAGACAAATCATCAGCATCCTCCCCCAAAACCTTTAGTTTTGACAAGGGTCTAACCGCAAGGCAACAGATGAGGTGAAGTGAAGGTCCATCTACTTGTGTCGATTACTTCCCCTTCATTTAGCCTGACTAAAAAGCCAACTCCAATTAAAGCTCTACCTAGATAATCAGAATACTAGACTTCGTCAAGGTACAAACTCTGAATAGTAGCCATAGCAGAATGCTTATTGATATAGCTGTTTGAATCAAGTATCCTGATGTTTACTCGCTCGCTGAAGTTGGCATTGAAGCTGAAACAGTGTGTGTCAAACCAGTTGTTATCAATGCATTAAGCAATAAAACCAAGGGGTTAACAATTAAATTGAAAAAATCGATTATGTTCGATTTAAAGGTCATGCGGAGTAAAGCAGTTCTGGCGGATAATTACTAGAACTTTTGAGCACGACCAAATGCTGAAAGATGAAATGATCACTCACTGCTAAAAATAACAACACATAGGCAAGCTTACCTGTTTACCGCTAGTAATCAAGAACGTCCACCAACTCAGAGAATCGCTTCGCAAGAACAATATATGTAATATTAATTAGCGTTGTGTCGGCAAGTAAAAAGTCTAAAACTCTGCATTCACCGTTGTGACTTTTCTCAAGCATATATTTGTCAAAAATAATCCAATATTCGTTAATGATAACCGAATAGGTTACATTAACTAGTTCATCTCAATATCCGATAGCAATCGTAACAACAGCAGAAAAATTTGGCCAATGCTGCTTGAGGAATCAAGGACGAAGAAAACTTGATCGAGCAACAGTAACCAGAGGGATGTGTAGAAATGGATACAACCAAAGCAATGATGCTATAGACATGCTTAAAGAAATGGGAATTTGAATGCACGGGAACATGCAGGACGCATACCGACGTGACAGCGATTGCAAAGTCCTGTATATTGCAATACCACATAATGCAAGGCACATAACCGTGAGAGGCTGGTACATGGAGAATAAAAGGAATGGATTATGACAACCGCAAGCAGATCCACACAAAAGCAGCTTTTAATCGTCATCTCCGTTTTCGTGCGAGATTAGTACGGATGATGGAATACTGTGAAGGCGGTCCGGTCCGAGAAGACTTGGACGAATATCCTTTGGGAGAGGATCTCGCTCTTCGTAATGCATCAGTATATCTCGATCAGATGGACAGGAATCCATGAAACAATCTGTATTATACATCTCTTTGATATAGTGCCACAAATGACCAAGGTTTTCAGGAATGTCGAAGTTTTTGTACGCTCGTCCGGCGACACGAATATGCTGCAATCTAGGCATGAGCTGGCAATCCACATAAGATAATTCGTTTCCAAGCAAATACGCGCCTTTTTGTGATGCCAAATAGGAATCTATGTTTGACAATGTTGACTGCAAGGGTTTGATCACATTATTCCTTACATAGTGCATGAAGTTTTTGTACAAATCTTCACATATTTTTTCGACCTTAAAGACTTCATCCTTGCTTAGAGCTGCGTTTAAGTTCGGTTCTTTTAGTTGGTGCATAAGTGTTTCTAAAGAACCAGAGGACGGAATGACCGTTCCTGCAGCATTTTCCCCTTCCAATTGTCCAGACTCTATCCAAGCAATAGGAAGTAATCTAGCAGCATTAAGCTTGGTGTAATTTTCCGATGGACTATCCAGTGAAGTAGGAGTGACTTTAAGTTTGATGAGTCCTTTATTTTCAAGCGTACGTAGAACCATCATCCATTGCTGACCAACGAGGCATGCACCTTTCTCCTTCTTATTTGATGGAGCAGCCCTCAAAAAGAGTTCTACTGACGGAATCGAATCAGACATCAGCTGTAAGATAAATACAAATAAGATGACTGAGTATTCGAAACATGAGTGGAAGCATTATCTTACACAACCTAATGTACTTGATCGGTAAAAACGTAAACTTATAACTACAGGAAAAATCTATTGTGAATGTCTATTTCGGTTTACACTTACTGGGGAGCACTTGTATGGGATAAAGGTTATCATTGGTTTTCAACCGAGCATCCTCAAGTTTCCATCTTAGTTCTCATTCTTGAGAACTGAGAAACAACAAACACCGCTCACTTGATCGAAACGGATCATTGTTAGGAGTGAATCGCTCAGGCCTATCGATTCGATTGCCAGTGTGATCAACCAGGTCGAGCATCGCTTATAACCAACTGCCGACCCGCTGGACAACGGTCTTTGATGGACTGTGGACTCCAAGCACTAGCTCATTTCTTGTAAGCTGGACCATTCTGTTAAAGGCTTAGAGTGAAATCTCTAATGTTAGTAGGTTGTTTGAATCTGATCAACGAACACATTAAGTTCAATTAATTTGTTGTGGCACTTACAGCCACATCCTGATTGTCAGACGTATAAGCCCTACATACAACATATAGACATATACATATATATATGATTTATTACACTTTTGTGTGATGAACAGCAGACGAGGAATATATTTATATTCTATATTTTTCACACACGCCTCAATCCAGGTTGTGTCAAACAAACCATAGTACAATAATCTTTATGAAAAAGAAAAACGTTCCATGATTTGCAGGTGGGCAGAATACTGCCAAGTTGCCCAGGCCAAGGCAGGTGAATCCGCTTGAGGAATCCACAACCGGAGCCTTTGGCAAGCCAAAGCCTGACCCGTAAGGCAGCGGGGCGGTAGGGGAAAGCCGAAATCCATTGGGGGCCAGTGTCCAGATCATTGGATCATACACCCTTTAAACGGGGTCGAACGTCCAGGGTGCCCAATACACCTCGATGCCCAATCGAGCCGGTGACTATAACTGCAGACGGAGAAAGCCCTGTAGCCACGAGGATTCGCTGTTCAGTGATGGAAACCGGTAACCCAATCCCCGGGACTTGGAGTGGCTAACCACATAAGGCCTCAATAGGTTAGGTGTGGTATTGAACCGTACGACAGCAAAGCTGCCTACCACCAAAGTTGGGTGGCAGTGGCGGGGCTTGCACCTCGACCACAGGGTCCAAAGCACGCCGGTGACAGGGGCTAAACCACTGTGCCAACACCAACATATATATATACACCGGAGACATCGGTGGTCGAATATAGAAAGTCGATTAGCATACCCAACGCGGAGGGGCCAGGTCTCGCAACCGTAAAGTAGAACGCTACGAACCTCGGTGATGTACACCCTTTCCTTAAGGGGCAGTCGGATGTCACGGCGGTGTCACAGTTGTCGCAGGTTGGCTATTTGTGATGTGATCTCCCCAACACCAACACCAGCTGCGATCAAGCTCTCGAGGTACTTACAGCCCTCAACCACTTTCAGCTGATCGCCACAAAGGCTGATTGCAAGTACAGGCTCCTACCAGTCTTCAAAAAGCACTTTGCACTTGGACGGCGTAAAGCACATACCATAACCGGATACTTCGACCGCCAAGCGGTTCAAAGTGTGTTGGACTGTTAGAATGTGCCACCACCTTCACGTCACCGATCTCGATCTCGTGACCCGTCTGTGCGCAGGGGTTTCATACCTTTGACCACGGTTTAGCACGTCAGAGGGCAAGCACGGGTTCGTGTGTATTAGATTGCTTTTCTCCCCTATGTAGTCTTGTTTGCAACGTAGGCAGGGGATTGCGTAGAGTACGCCTGATCGTTCGTGTTGTCTTACTTTATCCTTGTCGTTAAAGAGCAACGTCCTCACAGTTGCTACTGTTTTGTGGTCTACCTCCGTTCAGTTCGGCTTTTACAACCATTAACTATGAATTTCATGCAACGGTTATGGTTGATGTCTTTTGGCTAACCATTAGGATAAAAAGGGCAGAATGAAGATTCAGATGTTGAAAGTATGGTCAAAGAGCAGATAGAGAACCCATATAGACTGGGGTTGCAAGAATAATGAGTAGACGCATGAGCGCCACCTTTCGCTACAACCAGTTACATCACTCTGTCTTTAATCAACGGTTACGATGATCTCGGGGTCCTCGTCCTGGGATCCCAGTGGAACCTGTGACCCAGTCTCCTGGTTAAGGTTTTCATACCCGCATGCCTGGTCTTAGTTTGACCGCCCTTGACCTTTTTCTATTCGCTGCCTACCTCGGCTAACATCGCTTGCCGTGGCAATTTCTTTGGTGACATGCGCAACACGACCAAACCAACGTAGTCTCTGGAGGTCGACCACTTGCTCCGGCAGGCCATCGCGGATACCTAAAACTCTACGCCTAACCTCAACATTGTTAGTCCGGTTGCCCCACTAGACTCTTGCAATGCGACGTACACAGCGATGTTCGAACAATAACAGTATATCTTCAACCTCTTTTCTTAATGACCAAATCTCTGCGCCGTAATGCAAAACTTGTCGAATTGCCGCAGCATGTACTCATCCCTTCACAGAGAGCCGTATGTCTCGACGACGCAACATATATCTAGGGTCAGCAGGCGCCAATCGAGTCTTCTGTATGCGTGCCGACATTTCATCTGTTATGCGTCAGTCGGGTGAGATGTAGCTGCTCAGTTAAAGTGAGGTTGGAAGCTAGGCTAACCCAGTTCTGTAGTAACATTTTACACTTCAAAGGAGAGAAACGCATACCGAATATGGCTACACTAGCACTCAAACTATCCAGACAAGCTTGCAACGTACCTGGATCTTCACTTAGCCGCACAATGTCGTCTGTATACTCCACATCTGACAGACTATCTTTTTACTTTACTTTACTACGGCTGGCTCCTTGTAGAGGATAAGCCGGCTCCATGGTCATGATCATCAAGTCACTTGGAAGTGTCGTACGAGAGACGTCCCCAGCGTCACTCGGCTTTTTTTATTTTGAGGGTGCACCTCTAGTCCTTGCATAACCGAGTGCGAATCGCAAGGTAGCAGGGAGTAATTCCTCACCTCGGAAGCGAAGGGAACAATGACTAGTTTTAAAAGGCCAGCCACATCGATCTTTGTCAAGACACCGTCATTGGGCTTTTGTGGCTTTTAAACAGGAGCCAAGTGACCAGCCTGAAGCCCACCACACCCTGGTAGTGCCATCGCTGTTTGTTCTCGACTGCTTATTTGTTGCGGTATATCGCAACGTATTCACCGCTAACCTTCTTCGGTGAAGGTATCCCTCTATCCACAACCCCGGGACACATCTGGTAGCCTGGTATCCAGGACAGACTACCATCTGAGAGCAAATCGATGCCGCTTTCCTCGCTCGAGGATAGGGCTGTTTCTAGAATCAAATCTATGACAAAGTTGAAAAGAAGAGAGAGCACAACCCTGACAAACATCACTTTCTGGAGTGAACTCGGACGAAGAGGTGCCGTAATTTCCGACTAGGCTTCGGTCGCTAATATAGAGATTGTAAAATTAAAATTATCGGGTACATCCTACAGAGAGAGATAGCACAAGAATTTAGAGCGGCCAAGTGAGTCGAAAGTGGCTTTCATACTGAGGAAGATAGATGTCTACAAAAGGAGTGTCCATGTTCCCAAATTTGGCGAAGGGTGACAATGTGGTTCTCTCGCGAGGAGGAAAACGACATGAAGCTCCCTTTCTTAGACGTCCTCATCATTAGAAAACCAGACGGAAACAGAAACCACTGTGTACAGAAAACCCACAACGATAGACCAGGTACTGAACTACGACAGCAATCACCCCATGTGTCACCTTAGAAGCTGTGTATACACTTTATTCCACCGTGCAGACACATTGCAGCACAAAGGAACTTCGGAATCAGGAACAAATGCATTTGTTCCATCAATTCCACACAAAAGGATACCCCAAAAATTTCGTCCAACCATGCCTTAGAGAAAGAAGAAAACCGAAGGATGAAGAGAAGAAAACGAAACTCTTATTACCATACATACGTGGGGTTTCAAAAGCCGTTGATCACATCCTTCGCCCTCTGGGTGTCATCATTGCCCACAAACCTACAACACTGCGGTCAATCGTGTTCAACGGTAAAGACTATGTAAAACCACACGACCAAACAGGGGTGGTGTACGCGATTCCGTGCCTAGACTGCGACCAACGGTACATGGGAGAGACAGGCAAACAACTGTGCACTCGCCTACACGAACACACACTTGCACTACGACGCGCCGACCCGAAGTCATACCTTTGGAACCACTGCGCAACGACAGGTCACGAGGTCAGAATCAATGACGCAAAAGTAGTGGCAAGGGCAAAGAGGAAGGGGAAACATCTGATTCTTGAAGCGCTGCTTTCGACCAACTCATTCAATCGACACGTGGAAATCGATAAACATTACGCAACGATTGTACAACCAATGATGAACGCGGGATCGATGGA